GCGGAGGAGGAGGAGGAGGAGGAGGAGGAGGAGGAGGAGGAGGAGGAGGAGGAGGAAGGGCGGGCAGCGCCGCCTCAACTCCTCCTGCTGCGTCACCGCGCAGCGACCCCGCGCGCGCCGCAGCCCCGCCCCCGGCCCCGAGAGGGGCGGGGCTAAGGGGTGGGGGCGTGATCACACAGCAAGGGGCGTGGCTTAGTCTGAAGGGAAGGGAGGGCGAACGTGACCCGGGGGCGGGGCCAAGGGGAGGCGGGGCTTGGTCTTGGGGGCGGGGCCAGAGAGAACCGGGACGCGAAGGGGCGGGGCTTGAGGAGCGGGCGGGGCTTGAGGAGTGTTGGGCTGGGGTTGGAGTGTTCGTGGTTTTAGCGGCAAGGGCGAGTTTCACGAAATCGCGGAGTCGATTGCGTTGGAAAAGACCTCTGAGATCATCGAGTCCAACCGAATGACCGAACACCACCATGTCAACCAGACCATGGCGCTGAGTCCTACATCTCCTCTTTCTTTAAACACCTCCGGGGACGGTGACTCCACCACCTCCCCGGGCAGCCCCTTCCAATGTCTAATCACCTCTGGTCGTGTCGGAACAGGTCACCTGTTTGTGCCTGTGCGGGGCAGGGACAGGCGGAGTCCCTGTGCGTCCTGGGGGCAGGGAGGAGGGGAGATGGGAAAGGGGAAAGGAGTTACAACTTGAGTTCCATTGCCCCGGAGCAGCTTTTTGCCTTTGGGTGATTTCTGCCGTGTTGTTCTTTGCCCGAGCGCTGTGGTGCAAAGGCGCAATCACTCTCTTTTCCCCGTTCCTGCTACATGCGTGGACGATCTTCACTTCTGCGTTTGCAAGTAGCTCAATTGTCTAAATACACGCAAAAGACTATTGATCTAGGACACACTACAAAATATAGATTGGGTTTAGCAAACCAAACACTTCTTTCAATCCAAATTCATAACATTATTCTAAAGAAATTTCAAAAATAAGGATTATCATTATCTGCCTATTTACATCTATTGATACATTACCTATGATGTCGTTGCCAATTATAATTCACAATTATAATGCCAATTATATATTCACTCCCCAGGCTCTGGCCCATCTTCTTGGTTAAAACAGATGGTGAGGTATTTAGGAAATTCTGGACTTAGCAGAAGTATTTCTTGTAGTTCTGAATGGATGCAGAACTTCCTGCAGCTTCAGTATGGTCACAGTTCCACCCTTGTTTTTGATACTTGTGAAGATACAGAGGAGGTATTTGCAGGCAGAATCACACCATGGGTGTGAGGTCAGAAATACTCCCACCCTCTCTCCTCCTGAAGCCTACTGCTCAAGGAGGGAGACTTTAGGTATTCATTGAGGCTGCAGCAACAGAAGACTATCAAAAGCAGAGCTGAAGGAACAGGGAGCACAGTCTTTGAGCTGCTTCTTGGGGAAAGCTGTCCTACTTTACCATTATTCCCAGCACAGCACTAGATTCTGTCTGCTAGACAATATTTTTACTCATCTGGGGTTTTTTATTCACCTATTCCCACTTATCTTCAATCTCCTTTTCTTCTGCAGATGCTGAAAGTGGGGAAAGCATCCATAGCTGCCAAGAGGAATTTGACATGAGACCTGGGCTTGTGAGAGCAGCTAATGTTGTTCTCTGCTGAGGAACTGGTCCAGAGTGAACAGTGTAACTGCAGGCAAGGTTTATAGTTAGAAGCAATATCTTTTACTTTAACAACAAACACAGCTGGCAAGAGCAGACAACTGTCTGGTACGCAAGAATCTGATCTCAGGGAAACCAAATTGTCTCAGAACTGCCTATAGAAATATTGGTATAGACAGGTTCCCAGCTTTCATCATCTTGTATAAAAGACTTGCACAATAAATTACAATGGCATTATAACCAGGGTGTAAGGAACCTCGTGTTAGGCCTTCAGTGGATTTACGATGAAGATGGAAGTGCCATAGCCAGAACAAACGAGATCTAAGAACTGGGGAGACCAGAAGGTCCAATTAAATTGGGAAAATAAGAACAGTCAGATATTCAGCCAGCTATCAATATGTTAAATCATACATACTAATACCAAAACAAAGAAGTAGCATGGTTGAGATTCAGGCCACAGGCAAGCAAGCAAGCTGATCCATGCACAGGGGTGACCCACAAGAAGCAGATGGAAGAGTGAAAAAGTCTGAGGAAGAAGAGGCAATAAAAGCCATAGTTAGGAGTCAGGGAAAGATTTCAGGGCCAGGACCCTGTAGGCTCTTAGGGAGCTTCTGCCAGCACATACTGATGCCCGCTGCCTGTTGGTTAGGAATCTAGGCCTGAGGTGAGTCTCAGTTCCTGAGCTACCTGAGAAATTATTCACCCACTGCCCAGGAACAGCTCATGGAATGTGAAACTAAGTTTATTTTATTAAAGAGCTCTGAGAGTTGTATCTAGGCACCAAGAATTTAATGCATTTCTAACTTTATCTGCAAAGATATTAAACACAGGAAGACTGTGAAAAAATTAGCAATATTTTGTAGCTGTTATAGAAATTAAAACTAAGATTTGGAAGAACTATACTCTCCACTTCCACTTGGGCTGTACATTTTCTTTTTAATCTATTGAATTTGAAATAAACCTGAGGAGGAGACACAGGACATAATTCGTCTCATCCTGTGAACTGGCAAGTTCTTTCTTCCATTTCTAGCAGACAAATCATCAGAAACATGATATATATTTATGTTTGCAGGAAACGCAGGGAAGGGGAGTAAATAGCTTCGACCCTTTCTTGGGCAGAAGTTATTGCTCAGTTCTGAGGTGTTTGCATCACAAAGGAAGGTCATGGTAGCCACCACAGCAAAATCTATTTATATCAAAGGAAGTTCAGTGCAGAGTGGGCAGCTCTTGCAAACCAGATGATCCGACTGACTGACGCATCCATTGATTTCTGATGAGAGTAGTATTTTGAAGCATACCAGAAAAAAAACTCACAAATCAAGTGCCTTGCATCAGAGAGTGTTTGAAAGACCTCTGGACATTTTTCATCAATATTTAAGACAAAATAAGACAGTACTGCAGGGACTGTCCTCAGCCATTCCTAGGACCTCAGTAACCCTAAGGATTCTGCTACTTTATTCCTTTTCAGTCTAGTTTTAAATACATTTTTCAGCTTCAGGATTACCCAGTAAGTGTCTGGTACCCTGATTCCCCAAGGAGGGTTTTATGTGCAGTGTTACCTCTGAGACCCTCTAAAAAAATAAGTTGGGATATTCAAGCTAATACAATTCAGTTGAATTGTCTAAAATGGAAGTTTCTAAATTTGGAACTGTTTCACTAGGAAGGTTCCCTCAGAATTTGCCAATGGATTTTAAATCACTCTCTTTAACTGTAAATGTGAATTTGGCAGCATGCCTTAAAACCTAAATCCATCTCACAGCAATTGAATAGGTGATGCCTTCTTTTCAAGCCATCATTGAGCCAAGGGCAGCTTGGACTAAATAGAAAATAGGGAGTTATTCTCTCAGTTAATACGATACTTACATGCTTATATTCAAAATATTGCCTAAGAATTGGCCAGATTGAAGCCCAAAGCCCAGTTCAGTATGTTGCCAAGAATGGCCATTGATTTTAAAGAGAACTTAGGGTAAACACACACCACAGATGATACCCAGCACTTTACATACTCAAAAGCCAGTTGTGGAAGACAAAAAGAAAGACGCAAAAGTTAAAATAACTTGATCATGATATAAAAGAAATTTTATGCTATCATAGTTATTTATGATAATTAATAATAAATCATAATTGATAGTTATTTATTATAAATTAGGATTATTTATTGGGTGATTATTTCAGTGTCTTATATTTTGTAAGCTAAAGCATAGCAAGAATTACATCATAACTTGAGAAATCCAGCTCAATCAGTCTTGGATTCAACTTGAAATATTGCTGACTGACATTTCATTTCTATTCATAACTTCTACTTTCTATTTCTTTACTTTTTTAGAACAAAATAGTATGATTATTTATTTTTTTTTGTTCCAAATACTTCCAGCTTGTACCTTCATTCTCTCAACCCAGTAACAATAACTGCCTAGCTAAATGTATTATGGCATAATATATAAAATAAAATAGGATTCAGTGATGAATAAAAGCCCTTCTAGTGCCTAAGTTTGCTTCACTGATAGGAGCCTAGAGAGAGAAAACCTGCAGAGTTTATTACAGGCAGAGGCATAAGCTCTGCAGGAGTTCAGTGTTGTCAATAAAGGAAGTATAAGTCATGTCATGAAGCTAGAACAGTTTCAGTTCCATATCTAGGCAGCATGAAGTGCCTGAAAGCTCACTTTGCTTCCATTCACCTTTAAGTGTCTTTCATGCCCTACTGTGAGCATTCAAAGCACTTTTCGATCAAAACTACAACAACAAAAACCAACAAAACAAAACAAAAAACCAAACCAACAAACAAACAAAAAAAAAAGCATTAGGAATGAGGTAAAAGGGTATGTTCAGGACATCTTCTCCATCTGTGAAGCCATGGCTGATTTGGCTGATTCTTCGAGTAGATATTTATTGGTAAAACTCCTAAACTGCTGCCAGGGTCAATATTGTTACAGAGTTGAGGACTCAAAAATCAAACCAACAGAAAAAGCAATACAAACACACACACAAACACAAAAGCCTCCCTTTCATCAGTCTATGTCTGTTTTGACCCAGAAATTAGTGTTAGATTCAGTCAGTCTCTGAAAGGTGTTCAGCTAGAATGGATAGGTGAAAAGAGTGAAAACTCACTACTTCTCTTTATGGTGTGTTCAATATTTAATTCCTGCTAATCACAATTCACCTCAAAATCTCCTTTACAGTCAGTTAAAAAGATCTACTCTTAGTAAATTTACTCTTTAAAGATTTTTCTCAACCGCGAACTCAATTTTTTTTCTTTCGTGCCTGAATACTCTCCAAACTTTTAACACACTTATTAAAATGCAGGTGAGAGAACTACTTCAGGTTCAGTTTCAGCGATTCTATGAACAGAACAAAATCACTCCCTTATTTTATGATCTCTTTATTTTTATTACAGACCATTTTAATTATTACAGAGGAAAACAGAACACAGATTCAGAGATGAAAAACATGGTTACTTCCCAGAAGTAAATGGAATGTGCCATTGAAGACACTTGTGTCTACTCTTGTCCTCCTGCTATCAGAGGTCTGGCTGTAGGTAAAAGGCTTCCTTGTGGTTTTGGTTGCCATGTCCACTTATTTGCTTACACAGAGCAAAGCCAGTTTTAGGGACATTTTAATCCAAATGCTACAGCAATCATTTCCTTGACAGAAAATAGTGGCTACCTCTGAACTTCGTTCATATCAACCAGCATCAATCTGTAATTTCTATTCTGAATCACTGTCCTCCAGATACAGCCCTGGTCCTGTAGATAGGACCTCAACCCCTTGTTCCCAGTGCATCCATGAAATTTAACTCAATTCAGGACTCTTTTGTTTTCTGTTTCACAAACATTTCAGATTGCTCTGTATGATTAGCTCATCTTTGTAATTTACCACTCTTATCTCCAGTATTTGCCAATGTTTTTGTGTCATCTGCCAGTAGCATTAGCAGTGGTTTGTTGACCAGAATAAAGATACCCTTTAAAAAAATGTAATTTCTATATCTCGTTTGGTTTTTTTAAATCAAAATCAGTTTTTCTTATATTTTTTCTCAACTTTGGAAACTTCCTGATGTACTAAGTACATATAATAATTATTTTACTGGTTGCAAGTGTTATGTTTGCCCTTATGGAATATGAGCTTGCCAGTATCATGGGTTGGTTCCATGGCAACATCATAATGGGATCCAAAAGAGTTATCTGAGCATGAAGTCAATATTATTTTTCTTAGTAAATAATCATTAGAAGCTTTAATGTTGTTTTACCACTGGCTGAATAATAAAACCAGCATATGTCTCTGAAACCAAATTGTCACAAATGATGTTTCTGTTCTTCCAGAACAGATGCTTTCTTGACTTCTGTGCTTTCTTTTCAGTCTCTGTTTAGTTCCCACTCTTGACATGCCCACATGGTACCATTTTAAATGACTCCAGGCCCTGTTCCACTTTGGTTTGTTGAGTATGTGACACTGTGTTACATCTACACACCACACCACACAGGCTGTAAAATCTCACCCATCATCATGTCTGTGCTTTCTCTGTAAACATTGTTGATCCTTTACCTTCCATTGTTTCTCTGTCCTTTTGGAATATTATCCTTTGATTTGCAGGCCAGTCAACATCTTTCATTAGACATCCTCCTCTGCCAATCTCCTATTGATTATAAAAGATATGACCATGCATTAGCTGTATTATAAACGATGCAGCTGCAAATATCCACCCATATTATCAGTTCCTGACTACTTAGCATGGCTGTACTCACTGTCCTTTAAAAAAAAATTAAGTCATTAATCTGCTGGGCCATCTGTGCTCAGTCTGAACTATCCTCAAGCTACTTTTTGTTAGTTATATAGTTTTAAGAAATGGAATTTTACAGTTTTTGGAGAAGATAGGTTGCAATGTGAAATCCTTAAACAATAAAAAGCCCCATTTTTGGTAGTAGTTAAATAATTTATTTTTTTTCTCTCTTAAATTCAATACCTGACTCATCATGGCTAAGATGACTGTATTGTTAAATACCACATGGAAGGCATTTCAAAAGTCTATCCAGTATTAAACTACAACCGTTTTTCAATCTGGGTGACAAAATCACATTGCATAAATTTAGTCTTTGAAAGTAAGCCATGCACCTTTTATGAAGGACTTTTATCCAAAATGCTAGAAATTTTAAAGGAAATTAATCATCTTAATTTCTAAAATTAATAGGTGCAAGATTTATTCCTAAATCATGGATACTCCTTTCTAATTAAATTCAAATGTGTTTAATGCATCTCAGGAGTGTTAAGATAATAAGTAGTCTTTTTCTGGAACTTAACATCCTCGATCCCTGTCAATAATTATATTGGGTGACTAATAAAATATGATGCCAGGCATTTTTTAAATCTTTATCTTCCTCCTCTGTCTCATTAGCAAAATGAATAGGTTTGCACCACAGGCACCACCTAATCTGGAGATTCAATGTTGTTCAAGGACATAGCAAATAAATTTCAGCAGTATTCTTTCCTGCAACAGTCAGATATAAAATGCACTTTTACAGCATCTGCCCGTTGCCATCCTAAAATTTCTTGTTGCCAAATAAAACTACTGCCATTGTAAAAGCCACCAAAGGCTGGAAGACCAAAAAGGGCCACTACAACTGTCAATTCTGATCTCCTGACTAGGAGAATTTTATGCAGTTGTCCCATCAAAGATTACACTCCCCATAGAGCTCCAATGACTAGTATTTGATCCACGGAACATGGCACTCATCCATTCCACCAGTGGTCTATCAGAAAATGCTGACACCATGAGAACAGGTTATTTTATAACATAAGACAATACTTATTTTCAGAAACTGGACTCAGCTCTAGCAGGCCTTTTAACAGAAATCATGCCCGCAATGCGAAATTAGCTAATTTGTTCTTCAGAGTTTAATTTCCTTTCTCAAGCAGATATTACATTACAGTAATTACACCTCTAAGTAACAAAAAAAAAAAAAAGGCAGGCTCCTCAATCCTTGGGATGATATATAGTGCTCTACCCCTCATATAAAAGCGAAAGCCATCTCTAGTTACTTTTAACATTTGGGAATATCTAAGTATTTGAACGGAAGACTCCAGAGATTTCATATTATCTCAAAGGTGGGAGGATAGAACAAGGAATAGGCTGTGAATCATCCAACTCTTTAAAATATTTTCTTCCTAATTTTAGGTCCTGTAAGCCATACATTAAACTCAAATTATACCCACTCTGCCAGTGATTGCAACTGCAGAGATGCTCCATGCTGAATACTCAATCCACGTCTATATTACAAGGCATGTATGTGATATTGGACCATATTTTACATATGGTGTGTCACACACAATCACAGAATAAGGATCATCACGTCCAGCTCCCTGCTCCTTGCAGGAGTACCTGAAACTAAACCGTATGACTAAGAGCAATGTCCAGATGCTCCCTGAACTCTGACAGGCTTGGTGCCATGACCACTTCCCTGGGGACCCTGTTCCAGTGACCAACCACCCTCTCAGTGAAGAACCTTTTCCCAACATCCAATCTGAACTTCCCCTGACAGTCTCATTCCCTTCTGTAAGGCACCCCTTTGACAGTCACTATCACACTCTGCCTGTTTGGGTTTTTTTCCCATTTTATTGAGTTTTAGCCCTCGGCCTGGGCAAGAGAAAAGGTCAATCTACACAACATACAGAAAAGCATGTGGCTGTCCTACAAAACTTCCAAATCCAAGGTTTGTCTCGAGACTGCTGTCTACACACCTCTCTGATATTCACTTTCTTCACTTCTAGCAATCCTGACTTGCGTAGAGAGGTTGTTGCCAAGGTTGTTGCATCTTGAAAGCCAGGCCACACTTAAAAAGAAGACTGAAAAAACTATAGGAGAAACTATCTCATAAAAGTCAGTCCTTTTTCCTGAAGCCAGCTCAAACAAGACAGACACTTATCAGATATTGAAAGATGTAGTTCTATCTTCCTGTGTTTCTTGGGACACCTGGGACATCTCAAAGTACATTCAGACTAAGTACAAGCAGAGATTGTACTTTGCCTGTTCCCTGGGGCAGGCTGTCAGGGCCCTGAATGTCCCAATAGGTCCCTGACCAGCTCCACTGGGACCCTTCACCTATGCCACATCTACCTACTGACCTCTGGGCAGGTAGCAGAGATTAGCCACATCCAACTACAAAACTCCTCACCCTGCCTGGTCCCCACTGAATGTGCTGGGGAACAGGAATTACTCTGGGCATGGGGTAGTTGCAGAAGCCTTCAGGGCTGTGATCTGCCTCTGTGGCTGGGCTTAGCATCCACCAGGGTTCCAAAGTTATCCTGGAGCTGTGAGAAAGTTCCTGTGTGTACATCTCTATAGGTACTGTAATTGTAAATGAGGGACGTGCCAGTCTACAATCCCATTAAAAAAAAAAGTCCAAGATACAGTTTAAGAGTGAGGGAGGTGGGCATGAATCAGCTGCTATAATGTCCTGGCATTTCCCTTTTCCCTGATCTCAGAAAGCTGGGGATGCCACCAGCTATGTTAGAAATGTTTCAGCTACACTCTCTGCCCCATCTTCTGCCTGGAAGAAGACAGTCTTGTCAAACAGCATTGATATCTGAAAGTCTCTTAACAGCCTGATATCTGAGGCTACTTCCTAGATTTGAGAATTTGTGGAGGCACCTGAATCTAGGATAAGTCAACTATAAAAGCAGACCCTAATTCCCCCTCAGTGATGTGGATTTAGCATATGCCTCTGTGTATACACAGTGCCACCATCTTACTCTGTCTCAGGTTTTCCTATATTCCAGACAGAGGTGTACAAGCATGGCTAAAAATTCTTCATGACAATGCCTCTATTCCCTGACCTGTCTGTTTGCCCTTCCCTCAGTAAATCTCATCCATGGCCTGGATTAAGTCCTCCCAAGCCCTCTCGGTGTCAGTTGAACCCTACACATAGAAAAGGTACAGATCTCCTGGTCTTTCAATGGAGGAGTGCAGAGAGGAAAGTCTGCCCACATTGCTGGCTTTCAAGTTGCATCTTGAACTTGTTGAACATCAGGTGTCCTCTCTTCCTGACCAGGGGCACCCTGCTCTCCTACAAGCTGCTAATGGCTGATATGAGAGGAGTGGGACAACTCCCAGCCTTATTCACACAAGGTTGAAAGTGTCAATAGTCATCCTTTCATTTCCATGAGTGTATAATAATGGTCACTGACCCCATTTCTCATCAAAGGTGTGGTCATGCATGGCTCCACCTGTAATAACTACAACATGACAGAGGAGTGCATCTTCTCCCTGGCTGAAGGAGATGATCATACCTTTGGCCTTGCTATGGGTGTCCTTCAGCTTTATTACCTCTAGCCAGTTTTCCCCTATTTTCCACATGTTCCATGTTGATATGGCTGCTGTAATGAGGCCTTCCCAGAATTATGGTCTCACCCTCTAAAGAAAAAAAGCATGAAGGTCCCTATAGGCCATTATGTCATGAGTTCAGAACTGATTGTAAGCTTAGCTCACCACAGTATCCTGGCTCTGCATCATACATAGGAGGATAAAGGGCTGTAGAGTTTTTAGAGAAGCACAGAGACAAGGAATGTGAAAGTAAGTACACCATTCCTACATTCATTCTTCTATGAAGCATATGCCTTACAAACTGGTTACTGATAGCCTAACAGAATCTAGTTTTTCTATTTTCAGTACCACTAGGATTATAAAGATGTCATCTCTTTGAGACAGATGATTTTTTGTTTCTAAATCATCTTATTCTGTGAGTAATCACTTATTTAAACTGTACAGATAGTAAAAAGTTAACAATGCTTCATAGGATATATTCATACTGTTTTACATCCTGTGTGTTGATACCTCAAAATTTATTTGCTTTTACAGAAACAATATTTTTTGCATTGTTGTTAATTTGCCAATAACTAAACATACACCATAAGAGTAGATTAAAAGTCATTATAAGGCACAAGAGATAACATGGATACAAAGGGGTCACTTCATCCTGAATAGTAAAAACAACAAACCATAGGAAATAACTGCAGTTTGTAGTCACTGCTGAAGTATTGCACAGGAGGTAGTTTTCTTTGAAGTACCAGTAGTGCTGCACAGCACATGACAGAGTTTGACTATTTAGGAAGCCACGTGTGCACTGAACATGGTTTCTGCAGCCTGATAGCTCATGTCCCTACATCACACTGTGTCCTGTCATCCCTGGGGGTGTCCAAGGGCCATTACTCTGGGCATACACTGACCTGATAACATCAGCATCTTTAAATCCTAGCCCACAGCATGCTTTGCTCCATTTGTATGGAGCAAAGAATTAGCATAATGAGGGTATAATTTCAGACCAATTTGCTGTCTCATTGTGTAGTAAGAAAACAATCAACCTTTCCCAGACAGGCCTTCTCCCTACTCAGCTCTGTTATCAAAGTCACATTTAGTTTGGAATGCATTCAGGCTGTTAGCAAACCTGTGAGGGAATTTATTACTGAGAATTGCTCTTGTCCTAAATAACACTACAGGCTATGGCAGACATTTGGATTTTCTGTTGTAGTGGCAGGGATAGCACGGCAGTGACCTCATCCTCTTCCCAAGTTCTCTTCACTGCACAGCAAAACACTGGCAGCACCCTGGTGAAATGCCAGCCATACTCCTTCCCTTCCTCTGTCTTGTATCCCCACCACTGGCTCCCATATTCAACTCCATCACCCCACAGCAGGATCTACTGGTACATCCTTCAGCCTTCATATTTTCTCGTCGTACCTTGAGTCATGCCAGGTGTGAGGGAACATTAGCTTTCCTGTCAAACAGCTCTGAAGGAAACCTTAGATTCCTTCTCTGTGGCCTAAAGCACCTTACAGAATACCTGAATCAAAACCTGTTTTGTCTATTAAATTTCTGAAATTAATCACATAGTTTGGCACTCGTGAAGTAATCCTGCAGCAGACACCGGGCAACTCCAAGTTCCCTACATCTAATTGATTTCTGTATTACTGCAGGCTAATAATCTCCACAGAGCCTCTGAAAAACACAAGTGAGCATTTCATCTGAACAATATGTAGAAGAACTCAAGCAAGCACCTCTCAGGCTGTAGTACTGATCCTGTCCAGCTTTGTTCTTGTTCCATTTGTTCCAGCTACCCCTCAGCAGCACAGACACAGCAGTGCATGGCCAGATAGACCTGGGGAAAATAACCTGGCAAAAATAAAAAATTTAATCAGAATGAATTCTCTGAGTCAGTTCATTCTGTGTCCACACATCAGAAGGAACGATGTAACTGAGCAGAGGGAGCTATTCCAGCCACCACTGTTACAAGAGGGAAAGGCTTGTGAGCTACATCACACACACAAAGCAATCACAAATATGTTCTTCTGTTTGGCCAATGCCATTTGTAGCAGTGAGAGTAAAAGAAAATATGAGAAACTATATTGTCCTTTTGCTCTGTGCATACACAATCCTCCTAAAGGATTCATGAGTCAAGAAACAACTGTAGACCATAATTTTCTGATAGTCCTTCCTGCCCTGTGTTATGGAATAAGAAATGCTTGTGCACAACGTCAGCAGGACAAGTTTATTGCACTTTTTTGGCAGAATTTGTTTAGGGGTTCACTCATACAATAGATTTTAAAGTGTGTATTTTCAAATCATTAAATGAATTTGTATATCATATGAATACTTATCCATAATGTATGTTTGTGTATTTATGTATTTATATATCTATTTATATGTGTGCGTGCTTATTTTTATCTATATTTAAAGTTTTCCAAAATATAGTTACCCTGACATAGTACTAAAATAAGCTTGTACAGAAGACAGCATTGGATAGTGTCCTCTATAGAATTTCTTTGCAAGAGACAGAATATATACTAATTTGTATCCTGAATTAATTTTAACCAAGGTATAGGTATTACCTTTTCTCTCTCTTTTTTTTTTTACAAAATCAGTGTTCATTGAGTTTTCTGAAAATAGTATTTTTGCCTCTACAAAGAAGCAGCAGCTTATGTTATTCTTTCATATGAGTTTGTGTGTGTATGTATATGAACAAAAGAAAAATATAGTTTAATTACAGTTGGAGTGCCTCTTCAGCTTATCATTTTATTATGCAGTTTATATTTTATTTCCTTAAAAGGAACATTACAGTTTGTGCCCCAAACGAACTCTTTATTTTAAAATGGAGGAAATATTTAAATGGCTGCTTGAATTAAATACAAGAACAAATAAATTAAAGTGTTATAAACTGAAAAAAATATTACAGACAAATCTGAAATATACATAAACTAAAGCATTATCTTAGTTATCTTCCCCTGTTAGATGCGCCATTGCTTACACAAAGTCATGTACTCCAAATCAATGTGTTCACTTATGCTACACTCTGGAAAAAAAATGGGAGTTTTGACTACATAGAAATATAATAAGAACTTCACAATGTGACCTATAGTTTTTACTGAAGTAAATTAATGGATGGTATGCAGATGCCAAGATTAAACAGAGTAATAACAAAACATTAGTAAGCACTTTTAGTGTAATTAAATTTTTGATGTATTGCAATTTTTAGCACGTAATTATTTTTGAAGGAACTGGAGAGTAATACTGGATCCCACCCTTATTCCACCTAGTTACTAAAGAATAAAGTGTGGTGATATTTTTAAATTCTATTGCAGAATAATGGTGTATTGTCCATCACTGATAATGATGGCAAGGTTTTCCTCATCTGATAATCACTCATAGTGATTACCTAATAAAAGGACAATCCTTGGTACTATGAGAACCTCTGGTCAGTCCAGAATGTAAGCAAGAATTGAAATGTGCTATATAAAGCATCTCAGCTTGCAAGTGACCTTGAATCTGCTTCCTTATTGCTGAAGGTTGGGATTGTTCCATGGCTACATTCCCAGTCTTCATCAAGGGGTTGCTGGTAACATCAATCTTAAACACGAGTCTTTAAAACTATTTTTGACGTTGGCCTTGAACAAGTCTAATAATTTCACTTAATCACCTCTGTTTTCACACAAAAACTGGAATCTAGGCTGACTTCTAATTTTTCACTCTTATGAAATCCAGCCACAGGTTTTCTGTCTGCCATCAAATATCTGGAATCACAATTAGATAAAATATGTCAGATGCCCTGTGACACTCAGCCATCTTTATTGTATAGAAGTTCATTTTCAGCTTAGAGTAGAATAAATTTTGTTTGACTCAAAGGTCAGTCTTTGGGAAGAAAAATGAGACATGTTTGCATTTGCATATTCAAATATGCAAATTGAATGCATCCAATTTGCATTATCTGTCTCCTAATGAGAATGACCTTTCTGCTGATGGGAAAAAACAATTGAAATTGGGCATGTGAAACTTATGGAAGAATGTGAAGTTCCAAATCTCTAACAAAACAGGCCAACTGCTTGCTCCTGTGAATTAAAAAATAGTCAGTGTTGTATTGAACCCCAAATCCTGGTGTTCTTTCATCTTTAGGGACACCCAAGTTAGGTTCAGTATCTGAATTTTGCTGCTCAGATATATCTCTAGTAACACTTCTTGCCTGGCACAACTTCCTCTTCACCATCCTTTATCAAGAACATCTTAACAGTTCTCCCACCACTAATGTGGCTCAGGTTAATGCCACAACATGTTTATAATTATTTTGCTTTATGGAGCTTTAAAGTTCAAATAATGGGTGACTGTTACTACAGCAGAGCTGAAACTCAGTTACATGTGGTCTTTGGTCCTGTGTAGATCAAGTTTCTTTCAATACTGAACCTGAAACGGAAAGAATCCACGATCAATTTACCAAAAAAGGAGCATTAGGATCACATAGCCTGTGTTGTTTTACTTCTGTGAATGCCAGAGAAGGAAATGAGTCCTGCAAATAGGCAGCTCATCTGTAAACTGGTATCATCATCACTACTGTCATGTATTAATATACATTAATTACCTTCTTTACTAGGAAAAGAAATATGTATGTATGTATATATATATGGTCAAATTACCAGTATGCTTCTCTTCCATTCAAGCTTCCTCTTTCTTCTGCAGAGCTCACCAGGGCAGTAACATCTGCACATAGGTAACAGGTCTTAGAAGTGGAACCACTCACATGCAGGACTCAGGACTAACTAAAGAGCTTGGAATTTAAACAAACATCTTGACATGGGTTAGAAGCAAAGGGCACAGTTGTTTATTCTTGTTGTCGTTTCTTTTTCATTTTGGTGCTGCAGGAGTCCCCCATTAGGGATCAGGGCCTCACATTGTGAGGATTTATTTAAACATTTAATGAAAATATGGCACCTGCAGTTAAGAATTTACAACCACAATTAAAGGATGAAGAATAAAACTGTCTCTTCAATTGATTTCTGTAATCATAAAATTCTAAATGATACTAACATGTACCTCATTTTAAGTGTGTGTTTTCCTATGGTTATGTACAGGAATGGGATGCAGTAAGCTTAACACTGCCACTCGGGAAAAGCACCCAGACAGATGTGGGTTGTCCTAAAAATAGACACTTTACCTTTGCCACCAGCAAGCAAGGAAGAAATTTTCAGAGAAAAAGAAAATTCAAGCTGTACAGAACCAGTCAACTCCCTAGGCACGCACATAGAGTTGTGTAGAGCTTTGTTCTTAATGTCAACTTACTTGTTAGCATGAGACAAACTGTTTCATTAAAAACAATGTAATTACACTAAAAGGGTTTTAGTAATTGTTCCTGTTTTCACCTGTGTTTCAAAATCTATTTCATACTGGGCACAGGTGCAAGTGCTTACACATTGGGCAACAGAAGGACCAGCAGTAGTTGTTGAATAATGAATTCTCCTTTAAAGCAGCATGGAAAATAACTGTCCTTCCAGCAGGCTATCTTGACACAGTAATTTCTGTAATCTGCTAATGGTGTGGTTTCATAACTGATTTAGGGTGATCTTAGCCTGTACTGCTGCTGGAAGGAGCAGTTCTCTTCCCTTTCCCACAACTAGCTACCTCTTTCTGTAGCTGAATCAAAAATTAACCCAGTCCAATTAAAAAGCTTCTCAGCTTCATTCGGATAAAATCTTGGATTTAGTGGACTGTGACAAGAGTCCTGCTGTCAACATGAAGAAGGATGAGGAAATGCATTACTTGGACAAATGCATGGCAGGTTGAGGTTGACCTAAAGTAGCTGCAAAACTGCAGTTTGGAAAGATGACAATTACTCAAAAGGGATGTCAGCAGGCGTAGGAGTAGATTAGGGTGGGATCTGGTGTCAGATACGTGCTGGGCAAAAGTTGTGTAAACATGGGGTTACTTAAGGTCATGTGTGCATGGTTTTGTTTTGCTGCCTTGTCCTTTGCACAGGAGTCACCTAACCAGATATCTGCAAGGCAATTGCCTGCAGCTAAGCCAGTCATGCAAGGCTGCCTTTTAACCATTGAGTTATGGAGTATAAGGCACTGACCATCCTGATTGAGAAGCCCCAGATGAGTTTTTTTCCTCTATAAATCATTATTTCTCTCCATTTGACTGTAAACAGAGAGCAAGGTGACTGGCTCTGCTGTAGACGTACCCAAACTAAGGAAGATCTCTATCTTGTCTGTCAGGCTTAAATCCATGTGGCTATTTCAAAGTACTCTGAGAGAATGGTCTGTAGCTAGAATGGAGCAGGCACACTCCACTGCTGCACTCTGCTTGTGGTCAGGTAAGTAGAGCTCCTAACAGGAACTGTATATGAAATTAGTACTATATTATACATAATAACATAATGCATTACAGGAAGTGAGATTAAGATGTAGAATGGCAACCAATATGTATAAATTGATACCATAGTTTCAGCACAAGTTACCAGATCCAAAGCTTGCTGTCATCCTGGAAAGACCTACAAAGACTGCATTCTATTTGACTCACACACGTATCATATTTTTGCCCGTTTAAAAAAGCCTTCAGGAAAAACTTTCAAGTTCTTTTTTTAAGCAGTAAGGCTCTTGTTAACAGCTAGGAGCACCTCACTGAACTGAAAAACCTGCTGGAAGTTGTCCCTGAGAGCAATCACCTTACATTCTGTATAAAACAGACAGTGTTAGCAGTGGGATGAACAGTAACACTGCACTGCACTACTGGTGCAACTGCTCCTGTGTCAGTGGCACAGCACTTACTCTTGCCAGTGTTTCCACTTTTGCAGATAAATGGGCAGGTAAAAGGTGATTTTAACAAAGTAACAGTAACTGTTTA